TTGTCCCGCTTGTCGAGGCGCATGACGACAGCAGGGCTCGGTGGACAGCGAACCTGACGGTGTCGAGCGACGCGGAGGACATCCGCAGTTGCGGACCACCGCCGGCGGAGCTAATGTTCAAGGGGGGATCTGTCATCGCTGAGGGCTTGGCCGCACATGCCCGCAGTCGCGGCTATCCGTCTTGGGTGAGCACGGCGACGTCCGTGAAGGGGTCCTACCGCGCAGACGACGTTGTATCATTCTTGCAGCGGCACTTGCGGGCCTGGCCCGACGACCCGCAGTTGCGGGGAAAGTGGCGCATCCTCATGGCCGACGACCATTCCCCGCACAAAGCAGACGCTGTGCGGAGACTCGCCTGGCAGCGCGGCTACGTGCAGATCATTCACGGCGGGGGGACGACCGCAGTTGCGCAGCCCGTGGACACGGACTTGAACCAGCACGTGAAGCGCCGGTACATTGCCCTCGAGACCAAAGCGCTGGTGCAGCAAATGGCGTTGGGGAAGCACGTGCCGCAGTTGCGGCGTTCCGATTGCGCCGAATTGATGCTGTCAGTGTTGGAGAATGTGCAGTTGCACTTGGACGCCGCGAAAGGTTTCCTGAAAGTGGGAATTCGAGCGCCCTTCGACAAGTCAGGAGATCTCGAGATTTGCCGAGAGGCGGCGGAACTCTGGGAAGCAGGGGGGCTGCGAGCAAAAGTGGACACCGCAGTCGCGGAGGTGAGGGAAGAATGCGAGCAGAAACGTTTGAAATGGTCCTACAATGACGTGCTGCGTCTCATACACGAATACGAGAAACACGACGCCACAGATTCCGTGTTGGAGAAGCTCGGCGACGAAGCGCTCGGCCAGGAGCCAGGCCACGAGGAGGGCGATGAGGAGGGCGGGGAGGAGGAGGAGGAGGAGGTGCACGAGGAGCACGAGGAGGACGAAGAGCAAGAGGAGGCCTCGTGGGCCGAGGCTCTTGCGGAACAGTGCGATGCCGCAGTTGCGGCACCTGGGCCTCAAGGATCCTCGGTATCCATGGACTGCGTGGTCGACGCAGAGGCGGCCGAGCAGGTGGCAGTGGCGACGTCCTTGGCAGAAACGCTCCGCGAGGCGGAAGATATGCTGCGCCAGGTGGGCATGGAGAAACTAGCGCAGGATTGCCGACAGCAACGACACAAACAAAAGAAGCGGTTGAGAGAGCTGGCGCGGGAGGACAACGAGGTCCTACGAGCGTTGACTGCACAGCGAGACCACGAAGCCGCAGTGGTGGCGAAAAAGCGGCGCCTGGCTCTGGAAGCGAACGACAGGACGAAGGCGTTGCACGATCTCAAGAAGCAGATTCGAGAGGCCGAGGCCGCCTTGAGGGCAAAGAAGGAGGCCGCAGTTGCGGTGGAAACGGCTTTGGCTAACAAACACGCCCTAGCGCAGTGGAATCCCGAGGAGTTCAAGATCAAGAAAACCAGGATGGCAGCTCTGGATCGCCTGGCTCGCGGAAAAGGCGTCCTCTCAGACGAGCAGAGGGGGGAGTGGGCATGGTTCAAGACGCATTGGGACGAGGAGATGTGCAAGCAGCACAAGGAGCAATGGCCGCTCACGTTTGCTGGGTGGCTGCAAAAAGTCGCGAACGACGCGGCGTCTGGGAACCGTTCGGCGCTGTCGCAGTTCGTGCATTCGGAAACATTGAGAACCCTGGGAGGGCAAATGGCGCTGGTAATCCCAGCCCTAGCGTGATGCAGGCCGCAGTTGCGGACCCACAGGAAGTCCAGAGGGAAGTTGTTTTTCCAAGCGGCTCCCGCGCGGGCAGGAGATGAGGCAAAACCGAAGTTGCGGTCTTCCTGCTGCTGTGAAAATAATCCTTTCACAGTCCCTTGCAATCGTCGCCCTCCTTCTGCTTCTCCGCCAGTCCATTTGTTGTTCTTTCGGTTCCTTTGAGTCCTCGCCCTCCTTCTGCCACTCCTCGAATCCTTTTTGTCTCCTCCCTCCATCCGACCCCATGCCCATTCACGATCCATTTCCGTAGCCACCGTGGCTCGAGGTGGCGCACGCGAAGACGCAAGCATGTGGCCGCCCGCGCGCCCGAGCGCATCCTCAGGGAGTATGGACCGTGGACCTCGATTCGCCAGAACGGTGTTCATCACAACGCTGAGGAGGAGGAGGGAGGCAAAGACGAGGAAGCCGCAGTTGCGGATGATGACGACGACCAGCGGACGCAAGATGGCGACAGCACCGTCGCGTCCTCGGCTGCCTCCGCTGACGTGGCTGAGTCCCGGGGAGGTGCGGGAGCCGCAGTTGCGGCAGCACATGACTCCTACATGCCGAGAGTGTTGTCGTCGCGGAGACCCTGGAAACGGGTGCCCATCATCGAGACAAGCAATCTGTCGGAAAAACAAAGAGCTCTTGTCGACGCATGGGAGGAGAAAACGGAGTTTGAAGCGGGACGGGTCGGCTTCTACGTGGCCAACTTCGGAGGGACTGCAGCTAGACCCACGCAACGCGCGGACGAGTGGGCGCAGCTCCGCGCGAACCCTGCCCAGATCATCGCCCTCTGCGAGTGCGACGACGAGACCTGCGCGGTACTCAGTGGGGAGCACGACGCGAGGGACAGTGCAGCCGCAGTTGCGGACGATAGGTTTCGGAGTCGGACTCAATACAACTACCTGTGCGTTAAGGGCGGCGAGCCATCAGGGACCCTCCTTGTTGGCATGAGGGACCGCAGTGGCGGCCACATTGAACACGTAGACTTTGCGAGACTCTTCCTCAAGCAGGAGAAGTCCAAAACGAAGAAGAAGAAGAAACAGTCCGCAGTTGCGGAGGCTCCTGCGCCAAAGCTGCACAACAAGTACTCCAGGGCGATGGTGGTGCGCGTCCACCTGGACCAGGCCGTGCCCCATTTGGGGGGCTCCTTCAACGTCATGGCGGTGCACGTCCACCACAGCTTGGCCAACCAAGACTGGGGCGTCACGAAGCTCCATGAGTTCTACAACTGGTTCGTCGCCTACGTCAGGGAATGGGACGTGAAGGTCTGCATGGGGGACTTCAACATGTGCATGTTCCAGCTTGTGTCCTGGTGCCGCAATTGCGGCCTGACTGTGGACGTCGCCGCGTGGACCCCCTGGAAGACAGCAGGCGGCCAGCCCAGGGCAGACAGCATGGCGATTTTGTTCATAAACTGTCCTGGGCAGTACAAGCTTCACCATGGCCTGGGTGTTCTGCACGACCGTGAGGGCGGATTCTTGACGACCCAGCATGATCCGTCTTTCCCTGTCTTCGACTACACGAATGGCCCTGGGAAGATGCTTCAGACTTACGTGCCCAAGGCTGAGCCCGTTGAAAACAAGATGCGCGCCTTCCTGACGCCATCTGGCGAATCCTTGACCGCAGTTGCGGAGTTCGAGCAAAGGATGGCGCGCAGGGAACGCGACGATTGGGTGCGCCATCCCTTCAGAGTGAAGCAGGGCAACCTCGACGACAAGATATGGCATGGCGCCTTCGGCAGGGCGAGGCACGGAGCGCACTTCCCTCTGGTGGCTTTCACGCACAATACGTGCCGCAGGTCACCTGAAAGACTCGCCGCGAGGTTGGAACGCAGGAAGGGCGGCAGGAAGGGCGGCAAGAAGGGCGGCAAGAAGGGCAGCTACGCGGACACCGCAGTTGCGGGGAAGGGCGTCCGACCCCAGATGGGAACCGCAGTTGCGGGGAGAGACGCTGGGGCTGAGCGAGCTGGGAACACGCCACCGCCGCAAGCTGCCAACGGCGACGATGCGACCCCTTCTTGTGCCGCAGTGGCGGCTGGGTCCTGGGACGCCAGCGGCAGCGGCGCATGGGAGGCGCGCAGTCCCGCCACGAGATGGCAGGGCTGGTCCTGGTGGGACTGGAGCTCGAGCGAATGGGGCGCTGATGGCGCGCAGTGGTGGCCCTCTGATCATGCCGCAGTTGCGGACAATGCCCCTGAGGGCTCGCCTCCTCAGCGTGAAGTCGAGTGGGGCTCGAGCGGGCGACCTGCCGAGCGCCCTCCGTGGAGCTTCGAGGGGCAGTGGTGGTGATGGCCGCAGTTGCGGGCAAGTGGAACATGATGTTGATTGCCGCAGTTGCGGACAGTGTACGCTGGAAAAATCATCATCATCATCAATCATAATCATCATCATATCATCATATCATACGTTCAAAGCAGTGCCGGGGCACTGCTTTGAACGCGTTCAAAGCAGTGCCGGGGCACTGCTTTCGATCGTCGCCTCGTCGCAGTTATAAGGGCTATTGGATTATGCTGATGATGATGCTGATCCCACAGACTGATGCTCAGGATGCTGCTGCTGATGCTGATGCTGCTGATGATGCTGCTGATGCTGATGATGCTGCTGATGAGTATGCTGACGAGGAGGATGATGAGTATGATGATGATGAGATGCTGTCGATGATGATTATACTGAAGCTGAGGATCATGATGATGCTCATGCTGACGCTGATGATGCTGATGATGATGGTAGTGATGAGGATGATGATGAGGAGGAGGAGACAGAGGAAGAGGAGGCGGAGGAGAAGGAGGAGCAGCAGGTCGATGATGACGCTTATGATGCTGCTGTTGATGATGCTTATGCTGCTGATGATTATGGTGATGACGATATGGTGATGATGAGGTTGATGATGATGATGCTGATGATGATGAGGATGATGATGATGTGGTGATGATGTGGTGATGATGCTGATGATGATGATGCTGATGATGATGCTGATGATGATGCGGATGATGATGATGATGATGATGATGATGATGATGATGATGATGATGATGATGATGATGACGATGACGATGATGATGATGATGATGATGATGATGATGCTGAGGCTGATGATGGTGGTGATGCTGGATGGTGCTGATGCTGATGATGTTGTTGTTGATGATGATGCGGAAGAGAAGGAGAAGGAGGAGGAGGAGGAGGAGGAGGAGGAGGAGGGTGATGCTGATGAGGAGGAGGAGCAGGAGGAGGAGGAGGAGGAGGAGTAGGAGAAGAGCCCGAGGAACATCACCCTTCCGGGAAACTGCACCTGGTACGGTGGGAATACGACGCGCTTCGCGCGCTACTGCATCGACCTGGAGGTCTTCGACCCCGACGTCCAGTGGGGGCAGTTTGCGGAGGACCGCACTTGTCGTTCTTTTCTCATTTCATTTTCCTCCTCCCTCTCCTTCTCCTCCTCCTCCTCCTCCTCCTCCTCCTCCTCCTCTGCAGACAGGTTCGGTATGCAGGCATGCCACACCCCGTGCAGACATGCCGCTCCAGGTATGAGATACCCATGGGAAGCCTCGGACAAATTGTAGCAATGCCTTGCGGGCACCGTCCCGTGGCACTTGCTTTTTTACAGACCCGCCCCCATGGGCGAGCAGGTGCGCCTTCGTCTGGCCTCGACTCGGGGGCGGCCCCGCCCCATTGGCCATAGGAGACGCATGGATGCACCAGCATTGCATGCTCTTGCTGACGAAGAGGCCATGCCCTCAGGCCATCGGCCCCTCTCATTCGGCGAGGGCGGGTGGCGGGCGATTCGCTCAGTGCGTACGTCAGGGTCAACGTCTCGTTCCTGAGGTTCGGATACGTTATTTATGGTTCCTAATGCGTCATTCCTCTTGGAAAAAGGGGGCTTTGTTCCCTATGTAATTATCGCCCCTGAGGTCAGGCCGATGACTGTATCGGCGATGTGTCGCCGATTCCAGGTCCGATGTCCACCCTCCCTCCCCGTGCCGCTCTCCTCAAGGTGCGTCCAGTCGAGGGGAGAGCCCAGGTCGCCAGCAGGGGCGCGAAGGCAAACCGCGCTTCGCGAGTTCTATAGGGCAAGAGTCAAGTTGGGCGCGTGTCCCTCTACAGGAGGAATATTCAATAATAGTAAATCAGTAGTAGTCTGGGGACGATTTGTTGACTTTCTTTGGCACTTGTTGGGTATTTTTTGACTTTTCTATTGCTCAGGCCTTACGGCCGGTGCCGCCGACCCTGAAGACGACGACGACGAATACGAGGAGGAGGAGGGGGACTAAGGTGGAAGGGAGCCGGACAAGGCGAAGTAGATGTTCCCCATGTGGGCCGATGGAGTCGTAGCAGAGACAGGCAGGGAGCCTTGTGGCCTGCGGCCCTTCCCGCCACCGTGCTGGGGTTGTGGCTGAAAGGCCTCTTGGATGTTTTCGGGCCTGTTGGGGCCTCTGTTGGGCCTCTTGGGGGTCTCTTGGGGGCCTCTTCGGGCCACTTGAGCAGCTCTTGGGCCTTCCGGGGGCTTCTTGGGGCGGGAAGCTCGAAATGTCGGTTCGTGGTCCTCTTCTTGGGCCTGCTTGGGGCTCTCTTGGCGCATCTTGGCGCTTTTTGGGGCTCCGGGACGCCCAGGGGCGGATGCGCATCCGGCCCCCCCCCCCCCCGGACCCTCCCGGGACTCCCCCGGACCCCGCCCAGTATCCCCCCTCCCCCCCTCGGCGGGGGAGGCATCAAAGGGAAGGGGCTTCCCCTCGACTTAAGTACGACGTTGCTACGGTTTTCTCGCTGGCAGGCTTGAAGAGGAGGGTGCAGGGAAAGGGGACGACGGAGACGCAGGGAAAGAGAACAACGGATGCGTCCACTGGGCGCACGCCGACGGGGTCCACACGCCGACAGGGCTGGCGGATTTTTCGTCCAGAACCCGCCTGTGGGAGGACACGCCCGACCTAAGGCTTCTGATGTTCCAACCTGCCTTAGCCTTGATCACCAGATAGAATTTCGAGCACCAGAAAAAGTACCGAAACTCGAGGGTTTTCACGTGTCGGGCCCTGGGAGACACTCGTCCGACACTGTTTCGACACTGTTTCGACATTCTTTCTACTCTTTTCCGGGTGCTCGAAATTGTTTCTGGGATGTGGTCCTTAAGTTCGATGGGAGCAACATAACCTAAGGCAAGAGATCGTCGCGTGGCATCCGACCCCGAACCAAACCTTCCGGGTCGGTTTTGGCGGTCGCCGCGGCGATCGCGGTGGTCACGATCCGGGGCACGGCCTTTTGTCACTGCGTGGCGTGCCAACCTTCCCCGTTCCCCCTCCCAACTTTGCGAAGCAGACGCGGCTCTTAATCGGAAATTTGATTATATACGTTACCAGTGGCGGGCTGTTTATCAATCCCAGGAATTTTTGAGGGTCGGGGGCGACGTCGGGGTGGTGTGGTGTATACTTTTTCCCCCGTTTCCTCAGGGAAACAGCGAATAACGTATACACCAGGATCCCGTATACACCAGGATCTGCTTTCTTGTGAACGTTTCAGCGCAGGGCCGGAAAAAGCGTTGGTGTATAGAGTTCGGCTCCGTATTTGAATGAAGCATGCAGCGGCAGAGAGTCATCAGTTTCTGTATGTTTCTGTCCAGCGTGGGCAGTCATGTCTTTCAGGCCAGGGGTCGATTAGCACACGCGGCCAATGGAGCCGCCCCTCCTCCACGTGGTCCGCGCGAGAGAGCGCGAAGATCGCGCCCCGCGCTCCGCATCCGCGCTGCGCGGGGCGTGCGAAGCCAGGCCGGCCAGCACGGGGGAACGAGGCTGCGCTGCTGGCCGCGCGGCGATCCGGGCTTGGATCGGCGGCGAAATCCGAGCCCCTTCCCTCGCCGACCAACGATTCCAGGCAGCTCGATGGGCGGCGGGGGTAGGGTTCGGAATTCGTCGAGCGTGGTGAGATCCGAGCTTTACCCCTGCCGCCCATCGGTTCACGAGAATCGATGGTTGGTGGGGGCAGGGTTCGGATGTCGCCACCTATCGGAGCTGGCTGGGAATCTGAGGCGGCCCAGCAATGATTCTGGCCAGCAGGAAGGGGGGAGTGGCAGCTTCGGGGTGCTTGGTTCGACTTGCTTTTTATTTGGCCTGCGGAGGGCGTCTTCGGCCCTCAGGGCCGTGACGGGGCGAAACAACTGCACCGGGTGAACCCCGGAAAGGGGTCCATAGACATATTTCGAGACGGGTTTGGTTTCACCCACGCCTCCCGGCTGCTTCTCTCGGGGCCCGTCCAGCCCAGACCCCCGGGCTGCCTCCAAGTCTGGACAGGCCCGCGATCGCGCTGGGTGTTCGTCCTCGCCGCAGGCGGCGCGGAGCGGGAAGCTGGGTGACCTGGCGCTGTTGCATGTACAGTCGGGGCCCTGAAGAAGGAACCCTTTTCGATGGGGAGGGGCTCCGCGTTCGTGTTTCGCAGCTTGCCTCAGGTTTTCCTTAGGTTCTCGATCGGGAATCGAAGCTTTACTCATGGAAAAAAGGGGCCTCGTTCCTTAGGGTTCCTTAGGTCAAGGCCCCAACTGTACTCCGTCCCCACCCAGCTAGGCTAAGACAGTACCCCTCCGTATGGCGTGTTGCACGTCACGCATGATGCGTTTTACCTTTTTGGTCATATCGCACAGAATGAGTCCTCGTCCCCAAACGGAGGCGGTTGTCCCACTGGTGTCTTCTAGGAGGGCCGAACCGCGCTGCTGGCCGCACAGCGAGCGCTCTGGGTAGGCTCGCGGTCTCGTGGAGCGTCCTCGCCGCTGGTGCCCCGACCTCAGGGGCAACGTCGGGGGGGGGGGGGAAGTGGTCGGAGGGCCCAAACTATACACCTACACCGATCCTGACCAGGCCAATCCTAGGCCCAGCATGGGCGTCTATGATTTCCTGCCCCAGGCAGGAGGGCGTATACACCGATCCTGGGCCCAGGGTGATCCTGGCCAGGATCGTGTTTGTGGATAGTTGGTGCCCTCCTAGGTCGGGGGGGATGTGCTCAGGGGGGGGCATTCATCGACCTCCAATCTCCTACTGATCGCCCATAGGGGCTGGATAGATCCCGCCCCGCCCGGCACCGTGTGCATTCGTTATCGCGGGCCCATCGCCAATCTATCCGCGATGTGTCGCCGATTCCAGGTCGATGTTCCCCTCCCCCCCCCGAGCCGCCCCCCCCCATCGTTACGTCAGCGGAAGAAAAGGTGCTGATGCCGATGCCCTTCCCTCGTTTTCGCTTTCGCTGGGGCTCCTGGGAGGCCCTCATTGCCACGGCTGGCTTCGCCTCGAAATCCTGGTCAGAGCGCACGCCAGGAAACGTCTGTGGAGGTGCGGTGCAGGCACAATCCATAGCAGGGATGCACTGCTTCATCAAGTCTACCCTCGCATCCCTGCTTCTTCGGTCCATCCTGAGCCAAGGTAGACGTCCGAGGAGCTCCAAGTGGTAAATGTGACTTCGGACGATCTTGAATCCTTGCCTTGCATCCTCGCCAATTATGGAAGATAGGCGGTATCGGCATCTCGCAAGTTGGAGCATATACATTACCAGTGGCGGGCCAGCTTTCAAGACCAGCACTTTTGGAGGGCCGGGGACGACGTCGGGGTGGTGTGGTGTATATTGTTTTATCCGCTTCCTTGGGAAGCAACGAAAAATGTGTACACCAGGGCCCCGTATAATTGCACCAGGATCCTCTTTCCCGCGGAGAGACTTCAGTGCGTGGCCAGAAAAAAGCGTCGGTATATAGAGTTTGGTTCCTTGGCATCTTCTTGCTTCCCCGCGAGCGCCTCCTGCCCTCGGCCCCAGCGCGCCCTTCGTCCCCCCCCCCCCCGCAGGACATCCGCGCCTCCTGGCCGGTGCTGGCCGCCGCCCCCGCCGTCGCCCTCGTGCTCGGCTTCCTGTTCCTCGGTCCTGCGGGGGCTCGGGCAGTGATGGGCCTATTTTCCACCACCACCATAAGTTGGAGGGAGGGAGGAGGTGGAGGACGAGGAGGACGAGGAGGAGGAGGACGAGGAGGAGGAGGAGGAGGACACCCTCCCCCTCCAACTTATGGTGGTGGTGGTGGAAAACATGCCTATCAGGCAGGGCTCAGACTGATCGGCGGCGCCCGGGGGGGAAGTGAGAGGGGGCAGGCCTTCTCAGAGGGCGGCGGGGCTTCTCGGAGGTCCTCTGGCCTGCCGAGAAGCTGCCCATGGCCTCGGGAGAAGGCGCCGAGCTCTGCCTCAGGGAGGCCGGAGGCCCTCCGAGCCTGCGAGGAGACCTCGGGGGTGGACAGAACTCCCACCCTGACAAGTCGATTAAGGAAATGGCCGTTTTCGCTTCGCGAGAGGGCGTCGCGGCCGTCATTTTCCACGCTTGCGCCCGCCAGGTTTGGGCCCGAGGTCCTTTTCATTACACCACGTTTTGCTAAGGGGGGTTCTGTCCATCCCCGGAGACCCGCCCCGTCTGCCTTCCCCCCTTGGGATCGCCGGCGCACTGAGGGAGCGCGAGGGATCGAGCAGGATTCTCACCAGCGAACGTAGATCATGGTAATGATCGGAGGTTGATAGACCTACCCTGACACGTCGATTAAGGAATTGGCCGTTTTCGCTTCGCGAGGGCGTCGCGGCCGTCATTTTTGCGGGTCCAGGTCCGTCGGTTTCGGTCTCTGGCCGTTTTCGCTAAAGGGAGGTTTACTATTTTGAGGTTTGTCCATCGTCGAAATGAATGAACGCGCGTTCTTGAAACAGATGGATTAAAAAACGATAACTCACTAAAGCGAGGAGCGGATTCACTAAATTGCGCCGCCGAATCAAACCAAGACAAAGCATCATTTAGTAAGCGCGAGAACCCGTTTTCTGTATTCAAAAGCGGATCTTCTAATCCCGGGGCCGTTTTTTTTCTGAATCGCTGACCTGAGTTGTTCGATCAGATTGTCCTCTCAGGAAGGCCGGAGGCCCTCCGAGCCTGCAAAAAGACCCGCCCCTGCTGCCTTCCCCCTGGGATCGCGGGCACACTGAGGGAGCGCGAGGGATCGAGCATGCTTGTCCTCTCGAGCCCCATGCTCCGGGCCAGGGCTGGACCTAAACACTGTTTTGCTGGAATTCGGCTGTGTTTTGTTTTTCGTTTTGGCAGGGGGTCACAGGAAAACAGGTCGAGCAAAACGAACAACAAAACGAAAACAAAACAAACAACAACGCTTAGGTCCAGCCCTGCTCTGGGCCACTCGTGAGTGCGCTCTGGGAGCAGCGTCTGGAGGTGGGCCTCCGCTGCCACGATGGTGGCACGCAGAGGGGCGGGCAGGGGTGCTGACGTCTGGCCGCGGGGCAGACGGCAGCTCCACCCAGGTGCGTCTCACAGTATCTGGATGCTTCGCGTATCCTCGCCATGCTTCGCTTCAGGTGCGGTGGGGCCTACGCCCTTGCACATAATTTCCACGAATCCTGCAGCCCCTGGCCGCCGGTCACCCTGGCCGCCAGCTGCTTTCGACGCCTTGCATGCGTGCACCCTGGCAATACTGCTCCCGAGTTTGCTGTCAGCCCTTTCCCACTCGCCGGCCCGGCCGCTGAGGTGCTGCGTGAGGTTCCGGCCCGCCGCTTTAGGTTAATTCGTCTTTGCGCGCCCCGCTCTGACTGGACTCGCCGCTGGCGCGCTCGCCTGCGGCCGCTGACTAAAAAGTATCCTCGTCATTGGTCGTCTCCTCGACGGTTCCCAAGTGGGATCCGACACGCTCGCGGCCAGGCGCTTCCATGTTCGATCGCCTGGATCGATCCCATCCTGGTAGGCGCGCGTCCGCCCGCATCCCCCGTTTCGTGGAACGCGGCGGTTCGACATCAGTCTTCGACGGTGTCTGGCGATCCGGACCTTGGTCCGTTGAGCGCTTGCACGTGAATTGGTCGACGCCTGGCGGTTCGTGCGATACGCCCGCTACCCCGATGACGGCGTGACCGTTGGCCCCTGGCGCCTGCTCCTCGCGGTGCGTCTACGAGCCGGTGATCCCTGTCTTTCAGTACGTTCGCGGCGTCGCCCAACCAGAATCCCCCCCGCCGTTTTGGCGTTGCACTCCGACTGGCGGTTTCCTCCCCAGTCGACGGCGCCCTTCTCTGAGCGGCAGCAAGGCCCGCCTCCTGTTTGCTCCTTCCTCCGCTGTCCTCTCGTTGTCTCCTTCTTCTTCCCCCTTGTTGGCGCAATGCAGGCCGTAGTTCGCAAGTTCCGACTTTCGGACGGCGTCCGGCGTTTCTGGTGCGCTTGCGATCAAGCGAATCATCGCCATCGCAGCCATAATCATGTTCAGGAGAGTTGTCATAGCCATGGAAAAGGTATGGAGCACACGCTACCACAAGAAGGGAGGGTAGCCGTCCGTCGAATCATCTGTCCGTTCCCGCCTCGTTTTTCTTCGGCGAGCTGAAGGGCCTCCCGTAGGGACGACGCGAAGGCCCTTCCGGTAGATTTTTGAGTTTTTCGTCGCAGCGGAGGGGCGGGCAGAAACCAAGAGCCAACCATAGAGACGTTTGCTTCTTGGGATCATCTTGGTTTTTTTTTGGACGCTCTTCAATACCTTTGGGTTTGTTTTGTGGCTCTCTTGGGGCCCTCCCGTCCAGACCCAGGGCCACGTTCTCATCCGCGCAAGGTGCGCCATGTGTGCCAGTGTATGTGGGTGTGCACGTTGTACAATATATATATATATATATATATACTATATATTATTTATATATATATACTATATATATACATATATATATATTGATACATATATATAGTTGTAATACATGTGTACAGTTATATAAACATGTATACAACGCTAGTTGCACAGAATTCGATACGTGTATTTGGATCGAGACATATGCATGTGGTTATGCATTCATACTTACACATATATATATATATATATACACATAGATACACACTTAATGAGATCCGTGGGATGCTGCCACCTGCGCAGCTGCTCCTGGGAGGTCCAGCGGAGGCACTGGTCACGCAGATCCAGGCGTTCATGTACATAACCGCCTCGTGTGGAGACAGGATCGGGTACGTCTCGGGTAATTTGTTGACAGTCCTGGGCACAGCGAGAGGAGGCGGGGGCCTCTCCTTTGCGTGATCTATGGAGGCTTCGTCCACCGCTGCGGCGCCTCCTGCTTCTGGGCGACCCTGCTGATCACGACCCTCGTGCCACTCGGCGCGGGCATAGCGATCTACCAGCAGGCCATGTGGGGCGGGGCCTCCTCCTGCTCCATGCTGTACTCCCGCCGCTGGCTGGGTATCCTCTCTGGCGTCCACCCTACCCGGCCAGATACCCATCCAGCGGCCGCCGGATGGGTATCCCGCTGTGCCGGCTGGGTACTTACATGGGTGCGGATACTATAAAACACTAACTATATCTATTGTGCACTATAGGATCCTATCAGCATGTATTACAAAATAAGAAAAATAGTAAACTATAGTGAAAAATAGTGAAAACAATAGTGTTATATAGTGAAATAGTAAAAATAGCGAAAATAGTGAAAAATAGTGAAACAAATAGTGAACATGAAAAAATATGCAAATTATTAGAAAAATCACAAACCAGCTTGCTTCTCTTCCATTTTCTCCTGACTTTCCGCAGCGGCAGACCGCTTTTACATTGCAAGTTGCACAGTGCAGCGGTTTGGCCGCTTCAGAACTTCCCTATTTTAATCACGCCCAGAACGTTGCGCTCCAACGGGGGAGGGGAGGTTAAGGAGAAGGAGGAGGGAGGGCAAATGCGTTCGAATCCCTGGATGACAACCTCTTGTCGCGCTCTGGGCCCGCGCAAGGCGTCCATGTAGCCCCTGAGATGACAATGGCAGCGGCAAAACTGAAGGGAACCAAGAAGCTGAAAAGGCAAAGCGGTCGCACCGCTCCTCCTCCTCCTCCTTTTTTCCTCCTCCTCCTCTTCCTTTTCGTCCTCCTTTTGGATAACCTGCAAAACGGTAATTCCCAGAATCAGAATTTAAGGGGCAGGGCGGACGCGCCGCTGTTCCTCTTCCTCCTACCCCTCCTCCTCCTCGTCCTCCTCCTCCTCTTCCTCGTTCTCCTCCCCCTTGTCCTCTTCGCCCTCCTCCTCCTCCTCCTCCTCCTCCTGCTCTTCCTCCTCCTCCTTCTCCTCCTCCTCCTCTTCCTCTTGGATGGCCTCGCAAAGCGATCGCGCGCGAAGGATCGGGGCATGAGGGGCAAAGCGGACGCACCGCTCTTCCTCCTCGTCCTCCTCCTCGTCCTCGCCCTCCTCAACCTCCTCGTCCTCCTCCTCCTCTTCCTCTTCCTCCTCTTCCTCCTCCTCCTCCTCCACCTCCTCCTCCTCCTCCTGCTCCTTCCTCCCCCTCCTCCTCCTCCTCCTCCTTTCCCCCCGCTCCCCCCTGGATAGCCTCGCAAAGTGGCAAAGCGGTCGCGCCGCTCCGATTGTCTCTCCTCCTCCTCCTCCTCGCCCCCTTGTCTCCCCTTGGGTAGCCTCGCGAAGCGGTCGCGCCGATAAATCTCAGGAAATGCTCTGGCAAGTGCAATCGCGCCAGCGCTCGGCGCTTGCAGGCGCTTCGGCGCCTGCGGGTACTTATGCCATATCCACCAATAACAGCGTTCCAGAAGCCTCTTGTGTCCAGAGAGGCTGTGCCATGAAGGAGTCGCACTGCGCGAACTTCGGGGCGTCGTCCTTTCGCCCCCGCGAGGCGCTGGGCAACACCTGGCACATGAAACGCAACTCCTGAACAATGAACGCCACGTTGCCGCCTTCCTCGGCACCGCCGAGGATAAAATAGCGCTTCTCACCAATGCGCAGAATATCTCCAGCTGATATGCGAGAGCCACCCGCAATAACGACCTTCGAAACGTTCATTCCGTCGTTGTATTTGATGCCGCACGCCCAGGCATTCCCAACTGAAACATTATGTTGCGCATCGTGGCACTGAAGGGCAATAGCTCGGGTCAGTAATGATTTCTCGAAGCACCGCGTGTTGTCGATGAATTCAGCGATCCGCAGTGATTTTTCATGGTGCCTCTCCGTCACAAGCGTATCAAGTGCGAACCCATCCCTGAGCACCTGTCGCGGCAGGTGCCTGCAGAAATGAAACTTCGGGATGTACATGCCGCAATCACCGCGCGCAGACTCGAAAGCCACGGCGTGGTTGCGGAGCGCCACGGCCCAAGCATCTGCCACAGCCGCGCCTCTCTTGGCCAGCAAATACAGAAACAGTGATTTGGCCAGCGCGGCAAAGGAGGCCAGCTCCTTTGCAAAGTCCAGCTTGAACTGAGCGGACCCAGCGGTAAGTACATCGAGAACGTACCGAATGAGCGGAACGGCCGCGATGATCTCGCTCGCCTTGGCGCTGTATGTCTTGCTGGTCTGCAAATGCTTTTGCCGCTGGTCGCTGAAAAGCCCGTTGGCGTCCAGCATGCCGCTGGTCGCTGAAAAGCTGCAAATCTGCCACTGCGCGCTGGCGATGTCCCTGAAGCGCTCCAACGTCAGGCCGACGGCAGCGAGGCGGCACAGAAACTCACTCAGTTCACTCTGAGCGATCCCATTTATGATCATGCAGTGTGCTGGGTTGTACGCGTGCATGTCCAGCGACGCATGCTGGCAAGCTCAGCGTCCAATAGCAAACCATCTGGCACGTGATTAACGCCGTGCATCTTGCATTGCTCCTCGAACGCGCCCCTGGGCAGCGTGGCTTGCAGACGCTGGGGCAGGTCCGCGGAGAAGAACGGGTCCTCCGCGGTGCGCGCGTCGAACAGGTTGGGATCGGAGCACGAAATGGGCACCAGCGTGCTCGTCCTGTCATGCGCTGACAGCAGGGGCTCCGAGTGGTCGCATATGCCGTGCACATTCTTGCGCAGAGCGCAAGGGATTACGCCAGCGGCGCCCTTCAAGCACAAGGCATTTTTAGCGCCATCTTCGTCGTAAAGCAGGTTCGACAGCTTCAAGAAGATGAGCGCAGGGGCGCCGCCAGGCCCAATGCCATCAATGAGGGTGCCCCTCTGCGACGCGCTGTCTGGGCCAATAAGAAGTCGTCGCAACAGTTGGCGAACGACTCCAGACATCTTGCCCGCAACTTTATCGACCACTGCGTGGCGAACAAACGGAAGAGGCAACCAAGCGTCCTCGCACGACGCCGCGTCAGGGCCGAAGGAGCGGAAGCCCCCGTAAAACGAGAGCGTCTTGCGTTTGTTATCTTGCCGCGAGACATTGCCTGGCACGAACTCATCGAAGTACAGGGCGAAGTCCCGCGGCGCCGCTGGGGAGCACGGGAATTGTCTTAAAGTTGCGGGCGGCAAATTTCTGAAGCTCGCAGATTCGGAAGCGCAGTGCTGAAGGAGGCTGGCGATATTGACGACGGGCATGTCGAAGGCCGTGCCGCTTGCCAAGTTCAGCTGTATTGGCGCATCCAGAAATGATGATGCGAATGCATCGTTAGTCTTTCTGATCCTCCACTTCGTCATGTCGTCAATGATCTCTGGCTGCTCCTTCAAGCAGCGCGCAATGCCGATCGCTGCCGCGTTCGACGCTTTACACGAGGCAATCAGCGGAGCCAATGCGCGCGACCTCTTGGAGACGCTCTCGCCCGCGTCGGAGCTTGCGCGTTTCATCGGAGATGAGGCTGGCTTGAGCAAAAACTGGCTCGAGCCCGAGCTGGCTCGGGCGAAAGCTGGCCTGGGCCAGCGCTACGGTTGAGGCGGCGCTGAGCGGAAGCATTGGCATGAACGCGCAGGCGTAACGAAGCGGCCAGACCGCTGCGCTGGTGCAAATACAAGCGAAGCGGCAATGCCGCTGCAAGTTGAGAAGGACATCACTATAGCAAAGCGGCAATGCCGCTGCAATGCAACTACAAGTAAAGCGGCAATGCCGCTGCAAGTGAAAACGTCATCATTAGCAAAGCGGCAATGCCGCTGCTGCATGCGACAACAGCACGATGCATTCCGTGGTTGGGGAGGGGGGATAAGCGGCCAACTCGCGCAGGAGGGGGGGGGGGGGGGGGGGGGGGGGGGGGGGGGGGGGGGGGGGGTGGTGGGGGGGGGTGGGGGGGGGGGGGGGGGGGGGAGGAGAGATGGAAGAGGGGGGGTGGGGGGGGGGGGGGGGGGGGGGGGGGGGGGGGTGGGGGTGGGAGGATGGAGCGCGTTTGCTATGGGAACTGCACCGGCGCGGACTGCTGAGAGGAGCAGCGCAGCAGCCCCCGATGCATGCGACGCTAGCAAGAGGAGCAACGAGCTCCTTACAAATCCTACGCGGGAGCGGTAACGTCCGCTGTGTGCCCCTGCAAGCACGCTCAGGAGCAACGAG